GTTGGTTCTCCAACAACAAAAGCATTCTCTCCTTTGTTTGTTACCTGAGAGCTGCTTTTTGCCATGCTGAGGTATCAGCATGAAAGGGCTGTCGGGTCAAAAACTGAAGTTTTGGTCCACAACAGAGACATTTTTAAAAGTATTTTTTGTGATCCTCACCCAAGGAGTGAGGATATTTTTTCCATTGATTTCTAGAGAATGGAAGAGAGGGAGGAGTGGGGAGGGAGGGAGACAGGGAGAGGGAGGGGGGAGGGGGAGAGAGAGAGAGAGAGAGAGAGAGAGAGAGAGACAGAGACAGACATCGATTGGTTGCCTCCCGCATGAGCCCCAACCCAGGTTGGGGATTGAACCTGCAACCCAGATACGTGCCCTTGATCTGGAATCAAAGCCAAGATCTTCTGATGCACAGGCTAATGTTCTAACCACTGAGCAATGCCAGCCAAGGGGAGACATTTTTTCTGTGAACAATTTGGTAGAGAACCGAATTGTTCCTGATGGGAGACGTTCAAGAACCGAGGGAAAAACCTGAAGGATTAATTTGAGGTACAATTTTAGAAAACTCATTTCTGGTGAAAGAAGAAAAATTAATGAGTCTGACATTGGGCTTACTGTTGGCCCTCCTTCTAAGATGACGGGGGTGCGGGGGAGGGGGTATCAAAGACAGTAACTTTGATCAAAGGCCGATGACTCCCTACACAATAAACTCCCGCAGAGCACAGGTTTCGGAGTGACACCTAGGTTTTGAATTTTCAGACTCTACCATTAACTGGCACAGTGACCTCACATCAGAGAGAAGACCTTTGAGAAGCCATTTAACTATTCTGTTTTTACATCTACTGCATTTCTCACGGACCTTATTTCCACACAAAAAGATAAATTAGGCCTGGGCCTTCTGGGCTTCTTTGGAAGAAAAGGCAGTATGTAAACACAACAGTAGAATGAGTAGCAGAGGAGAAGGGAATTTTTAGAAGCTAATCTAAGATCACACCCTTCAAGACTAATCTTCAGTTTGCAGAAAACCTTATCACAACATTACAGAACAGGCAGACTTGCCTGTTTACCGCTGGGACTTTTTCTATGACATAACCCTATTTACTGTGGAGCTGCTCTAAGTACCACCTTATGTACGGAAAACATCAGTTTGCCCCCTGCAAAATAGTTATCTTACAGCTGTCCTCTGTTCATAACTGCCACGGTCTGCTTTGTATCCCTCTGGAGTCAAGAATTATAGCTGGTATTAAGGATGAAAATCGAAGAATTTAAGAAATTAGAACATTTGCAACTTGGCTTGCACCTTTAAATCGATTTTAACATGTTAACAGTTGTTTCATGCTTCAACTGAATGTGTTTTCTCTATAATCATCCTATTCAAACCACTGCACAGTAAAATCCTCCCTGAATCAATGTATTCATTCTTCTTTTTTAAAATATATCTCTATTGATTTCAGAGATGAAGGGAGAGGGAGACAGAATCAATGACGAGAGAATTTCACTGACCAGCTGCCTCCTGCACTCCCCACACTGGGGATAGAGCCTGCAACGAGGGCATGTGCCCTGACGGGGAATCGAACCCTGGTCTCCTGGTTCATAGATCAATGCTCAACCACTGAGTCACTCCGGGCAATGATTCATTCTTAATAGCACAACTTAATTTGTGCGATTATTGCCAGGTTGTGGGTTCCACCGGGTCAGGGCTCATACAAAAATCAATCAATGAATGCATAAGTGGGTGGAACACCAAATTGATGTTTCTCTCTCTCTCTCTCTCCCCTCCCCCACTCTTCTCAAAACAATCAATAAATAGAAATTTTCAAGTGAAGTAAGTTGCCAAAACAACTAGTTGCAATTAAAGAGCCTACTGCACTTTCCTTAAAATACTGGATACTTCGGACTGGCTAGAGCCCCTGTTCTAAGCACCTCTCACTTCATGTTGTTGGACAGTAACATACCGTATGTCCCAGTAACCAAAAGCCTCATGAAAACTTGTTGTTTTTTTGTTTGTTTGTTTGTTTGTTTGTTTGTACAGAAGAGGAGGCTTTGCATACTGCCTCGCGATGACACGTCTTCAGCTGCCCGACCGGTGAAGCAAGACAACAGAAGCAATAAATCAAAGCTCGGCCCCAACGGTTCAGCCCGCAGGGTCTGCAAAGCCCCACCTAGTAGCCGGCACCGCTCCCGCTCCCGCCGGACCCAGCCACGGGGCTTGGGAGCTGGGAGGGCCCCGGAAACCCTGGGTCCGCGGAGGAGAGACGAGCAGAAATGTGCACAAACGAGCCAGCGGGTCGCCCGCAGCCGCTCGTCTCCATAAATGCTGACCCGACGCGAACGGCCCGCCCGCCCCCACGCCCCACTGCACCGCTGGGCCCCGGACCCCACGGAACCGGCCGAGGCCCAGGAGCCAGCCTCGCTGCACCCGAGAATGAACGTGGACGCGGCCAGGAAAGGGCCACCGCGGCATTCCGGGTCCCTCACCGTCATACTTGGGGTCCGAGCCCTCCTTCGGGAAGTCGATGGCAGGCGGAGCAGGAACAGCCCCCGCCCCGTCGGCCTCAGCCTCGCGCTCCGGTGCCGCGGGGCTGCTCCCCAGCATCGCGGGCCCAGCGCGGGCCGCAGCCCAGCCCGCCCACCGGCCCAGCACCTGCTCACACAGCCCCCGCGACGATCGCCAACGAACCCGGAAGTGTCCCCTCCTGAGCGGAAGTCCCGCCCCTGCTTCCCGGGCGCCTCGTTGGGGCGGGGCCTGCCGCGGACTCCGCCCCTTCCTGAGGGCAGGGTGGACTGGTCCCTCTAGGATGGCCCCGGCGCAGGCGTCCGGGTACCCACCACGCCAGCGGGAGGTCCCCCCCGCCCCCGAGCCCCCAGGGGCCCCTCTTCGATGTCCTGGAGATCTGACTACCCTCCATGAATCAGAGCGCTCCTATCTCACGCCAAGACTCGGGTACCACTATTGCTCTCTGCACAGATTCTAACCCCAAATATCTACTTTTTGCAGACACAACAGGGACTATTTGTCACTTTTTTTTTTTAACCAAAAGCATCTACAAGACCTGTGTCAGCCCTAGCTGGTTTAGCTCAATGGATAGAGGGTCTGCCTGCGGACTGAAGAGTCCTGGGTTTGATTCCAGTCAAGGGCTCAATGTCTCCCTCTTCCTTCCTCTCTGAAGTCAATAAAAATACTTTTTCTTTATTGATTAAGGTATTACATATGTGTCCTTATCCCTCCATTAACCCCCCACCCACCCCCACTCATGCCCTCACCCCCCTGGTGTCTGTGCCCATTGGTTAGGCTTATATGCATGCATGTAAGTCCTTTGGTTGATCTTAAAAATATATTTTTTAAAAAGGAAAGAAGAAAAATGACCCGTGTCAAAGAGAACTGATCCTAATTTGGTCAATCGTGAAACCAGACAAAATGGGAAATGCAAATAAAGAAAGAAACAAATAAAAACCACACGCACAGGAAATGCCAACCAGATTCCAAAATGAATCCAACCTAACAAAAATTCTGCTGGCTTTGAAACTGAACTTTCAACTGAAATTATTTCAAACCTGAGACAGGCCTTTTCCAAGTGACCCCATGGCCACTGGATTGATTTTTGAAGCCCTTAGCCTTAAATCTCCTCCTTCTTTGTCCCCCGGAGATGTCGCTATCACTTGGTCCCCAACACACTGCTATTGGAATTAATTCTTAGATCACAGATCAGATAATATAGCTGGAATACAAGCCTTTCAGATATGGGGGCCTCAAAATCTGACGTGCAACGTGAGAAAATGGTATTATTCAATAATTTTATTTACGCATAGTTTTCATATAAAGACATACTGGGTGCATTTAGCCTGATAGAAGCAATGAAAGGTGTAGTTCTCCAGACAATCCCTTGGAATACCATATGTACACGGACAACTCCCAAATGTAAAAGATTAGGGAGATCCCTTTCCATGCCCTGCTGATAGGAAGAGCACAGATTTTCTAGAGGGTGATTTATCTATGTTTCCACAGCTTTAAAAATTCAAACACTTTTGACTCATCATTCCCACTTTCAGGGAATTATTCTAAGGGACAGGTTAAGAATAAGCAAAAATATTAAACAAAAAAGCTATCTATATATATAAAAGCCAAGTGACCAGAATGACTGGAATGACTGGAACGACCAGTCGCTATGACACCCACTGTGGCTGTCCAACCAGCCCAATGGGAGCGGGGCCAGACAGCCAACCTCCCGCATCCCCTCCCCCAGGCCAGCCCCCCCAATGAGCCCTGACCCCACCCGTGCACAAATTCATGCACTGGGCCTCTAGTCCTATATAATTAAAGGCTAATATGCAAATAGACCGAATGGCAGAATGAACGGTCACTATGACATGCACTGACCACCAGGGGGCAGATGCTCAACACAGGAGTTGCCCCCTCGTGGTCAGTGCACTCCCACAGGGAGAGTGCCACTCAGCCAGAAGACCGGCAGGCCTAAGCTGTCAGTCGGGCATCCTCTAAGGGGTCCTGGACTGCGAGATGGCATAGGCTGGGCTGAGGGACCCCCCCACACACCTCAAGTGCATGAATTTCGTGCACCAGGCTTCTAGTTAATTATAGTACTAGTTGTAATACCAAAAACAAGACGACAATATAATTGGTGAAAATAAATAAATAAATTATGAACACCCATACAATGGCACACTTGCAAATATTAAAAATGTCAGTATGAAAAAGAAAAAAAAAATGTCAGTGTGCAATATGTAGTTCTCACCACTTTTCCACTACCACCAGAATGGAGAAAAAAGCAAACTCATTCTGGTTGGAATAAAAAGGCATTCTTTCTAGAAGACGTGTGCAACTTAGAGTAAAAGCTTTTAAATAGGCAGACTCCTGGTGTGCAATGGCTGCAAACAGCAGCATCCTTGGTAGTGTACGCAACCTGTTGCTAGTATGGGTTGCCTTAAGGGACCTTGGATACAGCCCTTTCTGGTGGACACGCATGTCTGAACTCATGCTGCCCCCAATCTAGGCTCCAGACAGGCATGCGGGGTGCCTTTGGAAAGCCCCAAGGCATAGTGGCCAGAGTCCACATTGGCCAAGTCATCATGTCCATCCGCACCAAGCTGCAGAACAAGGAGCGCGTGACTGAGGCCCCACGCAGAGCCAAGTTCAAGTTCCCTGGCCGCCAGAAGATCCACATCTCCAAGAAGTGGGGCTTTACTAAGTTTAATGCGGATGAGTTTGAAGACATGGTGGCCGAGAAGCGCCTCATCCCAGATGGCTGTGGGGTCAAATACATCCGTAATCGTGGTCCTCTGGACAAATGGCGAGCCCTGCACTTGTGAGAGTCTCGGTGCTGCCCCCACCGTACACCCACCAATAAATCAATTTTTCAGCCATAAAAAATAAATAGGCAGACTCTTGGACCTACATAGAGGAGTATATCCAAAAAAATAACCAACGGGGGGGGGGAGGGGGGAATGAACCTATAAGGATATCTGCCAAAGTGTAGTGTATAATAGAAAAGCACTGACATCAATCCAAATCCCAAATAAAAGAGCAGTCAGGGAACACCCACACAATGAAACCTCCTGCAGCCACTATAAAAATGGAAGAAGAAGAAGGGAACCGCTTCCTCTCGTGGTTTCTATGGTGTCACACAATTCTAGTTTTTCTCTACCCGTCCTCCAGCTCAGCATCCCTTTCCGTAGCTCCTTCTCCAATGGACAGTTCTGTGGGGCTCTTGTGCTGCTGCTTCTCTCGGAAGATAACCACATGTGTTCCTATCACGTTACAGGCCGCCTGTAAGCTGACAACTCCCCAATGTATCTGTGCAGCACAGACTTGCTCTCGTGGATGACTCAATAGCATCTCCAATTTGTCTGAAAGTAAACTCCCGGTATTCCTCCTAAGGTAACTAATAAAATAATTTTGCATATTGTGTAAAATTGTAGTTGTACACATTTTACCATCTTCCATGAGTATGTATTCATCTGATGTTAAGGAACCTGGGATCCAATCTTCTCCAGTTTTTCTCTAATTCTACAGTCTCTACTTCCTTTATTTCAACTACAGTTCTAGCCATCCTGTAATTACCAGTGACTAGTAATGATCAGTGAGAGTTTGGGAAATGGTACCACACCATGGTTGCTAGCCTTCAAGCTGGTCCCCAATGATCTCTGCTTCCCTTTTCAAGGTTCCTCTCACAATGTGCTAAGGTTGGTTTAGATGATCATTAGCATATGGAAAATTGATGGTATGAGACTTCCAAGATTAGTTTAAAACAGCGATTTTTCAACCTTTTTCATCTCATGGCACACATAAACTAATTACTAAATTCTGTGGCACATCAAGAAATTTATTTTTTGCCATCTGACAAAAATTCTTGCAGTGCACCAATGTGCTGCATGGCATGGCAGTTGAAAGTCTCTGGTTTAGAAGACACTGTATCCCGGTCTGAGAGGCAACCAATTGATGTCTCACATCAATGTTTCTGTCTCTCCCTGTCCCTTCCACTCTCTCAAAAAATAAACTCAATGGAAAAAAATATCCTCCGCCGAGGATAAACAAGACAAGACAAAAGACACTGTGGCTTCCACCTTGCTCTTGTGAGCAGCTTATGGCAGGCCCATGTGATGAGAAACTGAGTCCTGCCAACAAGAGGGGAGTGTTGTTTGGAGCAGATTCTTCATCCCCAATAGAACCCTAATGACTGCAGCTCAGGACAACTGCTTGACTGTAAACTCAAGCCTGAGCTAGAGCCAAACCGGTTTGGCTCAGTGGATAGAGCATCAGCCTGCGGACTGAAGGGTCTCCCAGGTTTGATTCCGGTCAAGGGCATGTACCTGGGTTGCGGGCACATCCCCAGTAGGAGATGTGCAGGAGGTGGCTGATCGATGTTTCTCTCCCATCGATGTTTCTAACTCTCTATCCCTCTCCCTTCTTCTCTGTAAAAAAACAATAAAATATATTTTTTTAAAAAAAAGACTGAGCTAGAAACACAAGCTACAGTGCTCGCAGATTCCCGACTCTCAGAAACTGTGGTAGAAAATAAATGCTTGTTTGGGGTAATTTTTTACACAGCAATAATTAATACATATGCTAAACTCGATTTCAGCATCTTATCAGGGTCAGGAATGACCTAAGCCAACACCTTGTGAAGATGCTGTTGATCTGTCTGACTACCAGGCAACAGTTGTGATGTCATCAGAATTAGAATCCTTTACTAATGGGGTCTTGCCCACCATATAAAGGGAAGTCCCAGATATAAAGGAACTTTTCAGGTGAGTATATCTATTTCAGCTTTCCTCTTTACTTTCCAGAATACGGTGAATAACTAATGGATCCCAATTCCAAATCATTTTTTTCCCAAATTGTTTCTTGATATTCCTTAGGTCAGCTGACACATTTTAAATGGCAATTTCATGGGGTTACTGCCAATCAGAGTGGATCACTCCCATTTCAATCTCTGGACTTACCGTTTACATGCTGGGGCCTCAGCCCCAGAGGAATGTGCAAGAGATGTTAGAAACTTTTTGGTTCAACAATTTTCATACAGGGCTACAAAACTGTACAACCATTTTAGCAAATCATTAATATTGATAAGCAATAAGGACCATTTTCTAAAGTTATGCTATAAAATATTTCAACTAAAATATCAGGATGCATATTTGAAAGAATACTTAGTACCTCCGAGTTTCCATCCAATTTGAGCTTGTAATGTAGACCTGGAGCAGTTTTAGGGTAACACCGATTTATTTTAAGCTCCCCAAGACTAAACAATGAAATACTACACTGATTAAAATTACTTTTTATGTTCTCTTCTGGGATTCCCTGAGAATGCTTTATTTTTATGTTCATATTCTCATAATCCTCAAATCTTCACCCCTTAAGGCTGGATTTTATTTCTCAAATTATTCAAATGCCATTTATGTCAGAGTGGGTGCTCAAAGGATAAAAATGCAATTTTTAGTAAAATTTTAAATTATATAAAGTATATAATTTTTCTGACCACACAAACCCCCCCCTCAACAAATCTCATGAATAATGATAAAGTTTTGTTTTACCATAACTCTCACAATCCCTATGTTGCCCCCCAACACTCCCCTATTCACCACTGTTTATTCCAGTTCTTTTTTTATTCATCTAGACAAATTTGTACCACAATAAAACAGCATTGGCAGAGGCTTGGTTTAAAAAGAATGACTAAAAACATATTGTTCTGTAACTTGCATTTATTCTCCACTCCAAAATACATCCTAGGGAACTTTCTGCGTTCGTATTACAATAGTGTTCTGTAACTGGATATTCCATAGTTAATTTAGCCATTCCCCTAGCTGAAGAGAAATTAGGTGTCTCCAATATGTCAATATTATAAACAACTCGAAGAATTACCCCGGTATCCAGTTTAATGTTTACTGGGAATTCTACTACTACTAGCTGTGGTTTTAAGCAAACAAACAAAAAAATATTTAAACTGTGTCTCAGTTCTTCTGTAAAGAAGATTCTACTACCACTTAACCTTACAAGGTTGCAGAGAGGATGAAATGAATTGGCATATTTATGGACAGCAATCTATAATTGTTACCTGAAAAGTTAAAGTTGGTGGTGGACAGACAGACTAAATAGCCATTTCAGATGGTGATTAAAGAAAAACTGAATTTTTTTTAAGAAAAAAGGGATGGGAGATGGGGTAGCCAAAGGGAAGAGCTACACAGCCCTGAGCCAAAGGGTATTATTGGGTCCATGATGGCAGCAAAAATCCTATCTAATAAAGAGGGAATATGTACCCTAACCGGTTTGGCTCAGTGGATAGAGCATCGGCCTGTGGACTAAAGGATCCCCGGTTCGATTCCAGTCAAGGGCATGTACCTTGGTTGCAGACACATCCCCAGTTGGGGGTGTGCAGGAGGCAGCTAATTGATGTTTCTCTCTCATCAATGTTTCTAGCTCTCTATCCCTCTCCCTTCCTCCCTGTAAAAAATCAATAAAATATATATTTTTTAAAAGGGAATATGTAAATTGCCCATCACCGTCACAAAGATGGAGGTGCCCATAGCCACAAGATGGTGGCGCCCAGTCCCCTCTGCCCTGCTGGAGTCCCACAGTCCTTTCAACCTGGGGGGGTGGAGGAGGGGGGAGTGGCAGTCCCATGGTGCGGCCGGACCCACACTCAGCCCCCCCAGCCATCCAGGGCCCACCTGAGGGGCAGGCAAGCCTCAGATGGCTGCTGCCCAGCTGACCAGGGCCAGCCGAGGCTTGCGCTGCCAGCAGTGACAGCAGCAGAGGTGTGATGAGGGTGTTGCCTTCCCCTGACCGCCGGGTTGACTCCTGCCCCTGAGGGCTCCTGGATTGTGAGAGGGGGGCAGGCCAGGCTGAGGGACCCCCCTCCAGTGCATGAATTTTCATGCATCAGGCCTCTAGTATACTTAGAATAGTGAAACAAGGAATTGCATAGAACAGTGGTTCTCAACCTTCTGGCCCTTTAAATACAGCTCCTCATGTTGTGACCCAACCATAAAATTATTTTCGTTGCTACTTCATAACTGTAATGTTGCTACTGTTATGAATCGTAATGTAAATATCTGATATGCAGGATGGTCTTAGGCGACCCCTGTGAAAGGGTCGTTTGACCGCCAAAGGGGTCGCGACCCACAGGTTGAGAACCGCTGATAGAGCTTAAGGGGATACATGCCTGTGGGGGAAGAGAACGCACCCGTGTGCTCCTTGGAGGGAGAGCAGGCACTCGGTCCTTTGTCCTGAGCATATGTATCTCTTTCTTGCAGGCAGAAATCTTAGGGGAGGGTCTTAATAGGATATTCACCAGCTTCCCAGGTGTGCTCTTTCAGGGTCCTGGTCTCCACTGATTGGCGGGTGCCAGGGCCGCCCTAGGGTCGTCAATGCAGCTGGTCCCAAGGCAGCCACAGCCTCACTTGTCTTGCTTTGGTGCTTTTCTGGGCCTGGAGCTGAAATACAACTGAGGCCTAGATGTTGTCCTTAGGGAGGAAAAGGTCAGGGTGTCTGAACCGCCTGAGCAGCGCTATGAAAGACAGACCAGGGGTCCAAACCAGTGAGACGATAGGGCGGGACAGGCTACCTGGGGGTGAGGTTCCCGTTTTGCCCCTGGCTAGGCACCTGGTGCGTTTCGGTAACTGGACCATCGGCCTTGCTCTGCTCATGTCTAACATGACCCAACACTGTCATTCTCCTCGGTGATCTCTGACCATCAGGTCTTCGCTCCTGGGAGATTTGATTCCAGCTGCCGGGCGCTACACGCCACCTTCCCCAATCGGGGTGACTCTGAGCCTGGTGGGAGTGCCTGCCTCCGACATCCCTTATTCTCCTGCTTCAAGGCGAGAGG